GAATCAGAACAGAAGAATATAAAATGCAAGCATTTGCTGATGATATGGCATTCATTATAGAAGACCCTTTGGAAACAGGAAATATATTGTTCCAGAAAATTGAAGAATTTGGCAGAGTGGCGGGACTAAAAATAAATAAAGAAAAAATGAAGATATTAACAAAGAATATGACTGTGAAGCAGAAAAAGGAATTGGAGAAGAAGTTGGGGATCCAAACAACAACAAAAACTGAAATATATTGGGATTGGCTGACAGCTAAATGTTCATCGATAAAAGTAGATAACTATGAAAAATTATTAAAACAAATACAAAAAGATCTGGAAAATTGAAGGAAACTTTAGATATCATTGATAGGGAGAACTGCTTCTATTAAGATGAATATACTAAGTTATTATTCCTCTTTCAAACAATTCCCCCCCAAAATAGGCAAAACTTTCTTTGAAGAATTAAATAAAACAATTACAAATTTATTTGGCAAGGGAAAAAGGCCCGGATAAAACTAAAACTCCTGCAGGATAGTAAAGATAAGGGAAGATTCGGACTTCCAGATTGGGAACTCTACTATCAGGCTACAATAGATTGGATTAAAGATTGGGTAAATCTGAAGAAGAAAAAGAGTTAGAAGGACATTAGAAGGACATGACCTGCAGATTGACTGGCACGCGTTCATATGGGAAGGGAAAAACAAATTTCATTCGTACTTTCAAAGACATCAAATTAAAGATACCTTACTAGGGGTTTGGGAAAAATTAAAATGAAACCACTATACAAAGATCCCAATCTGGATGTCCACCATGGAAAACTATGGTATATCAGAATGTGCTAGATCTAAATAAGACACGGAGCTATAAAGAACTATTAGATGAACAAGGAAAATTAAAATCCAAACTATAAGGAAAAATCCAAACTACAAGAAACTACAAGGAACTACAAGGAACACAGGTAGATTGGTGGCCGTACCTACAGATCCAAACCAGATATAAGATATAGAACAATATGAGATATATTTGGATCAACGAGAATTGGATAAAATCTTATAGGGGGTGGAAGGAAAAATGATTACCAGAACGTATAAGTATTTGTTAAGGTATAACCTGGAAGCAGAAACTGTGAAATGATAACCTGGGCCAAAAATTTTGGATATAGTATTAATTTGGAAGATTGGGAAAACCAATGGAAAACAAATTATAAATCAGCAATGTATAAGGAGAATTTATATAAAATGTTTTATCGCTGGCACTTACCTCCAGCAAGGCTCGCAAAAATGTTCCCCAATAATTCAGCAAATTGTTGGAAATGTGGCCATGAGCAGGGAACCTACTACCATATGTGGTGGACTTGCCCAAAAGGAAAAAAATATTGGCTGAAAATCAGAAATTGGCTAGAAAAAATTACAAAAGTAAAAATCGAAATGAAACTAGAATTATTTCTATTAGAGATTTTAAAAAAAATAGTTTAAAAAACCCTCTTTTATATTATATTCCATATACTAACAGCAGCAAGAATTGCCTTTGCCCAAAATTGGAAATGTGAAAATATGGTCATAAAGAAAACTTTGACATCCCTGTTATAGAATGAAAGTACCAATAAACTCTTGGAAGACTGCAAGCAACAACTTAACAGAAATAATAATAGTCATTCAGCACTACTTTTTGTGTAAACAAAAGTATATACAAGTGTTAGTCTCAAAGGCGCTTTTCAAAAAGCAAGTGGAGCCTTTATGAGAAGAAAAACATCTTCAAGGAAAAAACAAAGCCTGTTGAAAAGCACTTTTGGACAATCATGACCTGGATGACTAAGACTGTCCATTGACATAGAACTCTTAGATATCACTGTCCCATTTGATAGATGTCCTGATGCCAGAATTGTTTCCCCTCTCAAACTTTACAGGCAGTGGTCTCACCCTGAAATAAATTGTTCATTATATGTTTCATGGAACATCTGTTTTACAGGTGGGAAAGTCAGAGTAGGCATCCCAATAGAACATTACTAGTGATATCAACATGAGATATTTCAATCTCATATATATTGTACACTTTATTCTTGAGCTTCTCAATGAATTAGGAGTATATTAATGCAAAACAATCTTTGATTAGAGATATAACCCCTTACAGATTTCTTGCATCAAATCGAAAAAATGCACTTCTTAAACAAATTTAAATCAATCCAGCAACAATCAAAAAAGTCAGGAGAAGACTTCAACATTCCCAGTCTCAAATTCTTTCAACACTGAAATTAGGATCAGAAATGATTAAGACAACCTTATTTAAACATTATTTGTAAAAATGTTATACTGTATATTAAGGGTTCTAAAATGTCAGTAACTATATAATCTGAATGCTGTTTCAGTCTTCCAGTTTAGTTGTCTTGCCCAACTTCGTGTAATTTGCATATTTGATAATTATTATTTCTATCTTACTAGTTGTTACTGTGAAAAATTTATATAATATGAAAAAATGCCAGATTGTAACTAAAAATAAAATATTAATAAAAATGTTGGCCAAATGACTCTAGATCCAATCATGAAAAAACTGAATTGAGGAAGAGCTGACCTCTATCTTTTACTTATGTGTTAGAGAACATAACCATCTATAATGTGGATCTCATAAAATTGTAACATTTTTTAAAAAAGAAAACATATTTAGTTAGCTATCTCTGCGTCAGTTCATGCTAAGTTTTAGCTTTCCTGATATTCTCTAGATTTATGATGCCAAATATCTTCTGCTACCCTTTTTAATGAAGCAACAACATTTAGTCTTGGATTTTTGACCATCTCTCTGTTAAATTCAATCAAGCAATATAATCTCTGGTGACAAAGAACTAAGTGTCCATTTCAGTAGTTTTAGCTAGATGCCCCTTTTTTTATAAAACAGCAAAGATGGGAATTATCCACATAGCCCACAAATAGTGCCTTTGATGGGATAAAATCGAAAGGCAATTTCAACACACAAATTGCATACATATAAGAGGCAGCACTCCTGGAACCATTTTTCTTCCTGTGTCTGCTTCAGGTTTTAACAACTTCTAAGAATATGTAAATGGCAAGCTTCAGCTCTTAATAGCCAGCAGATTGTTAGTTATTATTGTGGTGCATACACTGCCTCTCTTATGGATCCTTTCAATATAATACATTTATTGCATGGACCTATTTCTTCACATGATGAAAAATTAGTCAATGAAAAGTAATATATCGCCTTGGATACTTTCAGGCCTTTTGGTCACTTTTTTAAAAATCTTTTTTTCTCCTTTTATTTGGGGTAAATCCTGCATTTACATGCTCTACCTCATTAGACATAATGTCCACACAATACATATTTCTTTACATGTGGAATTCTATTTTTCAATACAGAACATGAAACTAATTCTGATGTTAAAAAAGTTAAATATATGAATAATCTGTGTGAGCTTGTGCCATAATACAATGCTGCACTTTTCCTAGTAAAGCTAAGGAATCTGAGTAACTTATTTAACTGAGTAGGTCATCACTCTACTAGTTAAGTAACAGATGAAAAACTTACTCTAACTCTAATAAAGACAGTGGTCTTCTTACTTTTCTACCACTGGTAACTTCTAAAGCTTCTTCATGGATTACTGCCTTGTTGTGATGAAGAGGCTTGCATACATAGCTCAGTGAAACTATGAGCTATGCTGTGCAGGGCTACCCAAGATGGACAGGCCATAGCAAAGAGCTCGGACAAAATGTGATCCACTGGAGAAGGAAATGGCAGTATCTTTGCCATGAAAACCCCATGGACAGTACCAAATGGCAAAAAGATATGACGATGAGCCTCTCAGGTCAGAAGGTGTCCAATATGCTACTGGGGAAGAGCAGAGGGAAAGTACTAGTAGCACCAGAAAGAATGAAGCAACTGGGCCAAAGCCCAAAGGTTGCTCAGCTGTGGATGTATCTGGTGGTGAAGGAAAGTCGGATTCTGTAAAGATCTATACTCCATAGGAACCTGGAATGTAAGATCCATGAATAGTGCAAAGAAATAGAAGAAAACAATAGAATGGGGGGACCAGAGATCTCTTCAAGAAAATTGGGAGATATGAAGGGTACATTTCATGCAAAGATGGGCACGATGAAGGACCAAAATGGCAGGGACCTAACAGAGGCAGAAGAGATTAAGAAGAGGTGGCAAAATTACACAGAAGAACTATACAAAAACGAGCTTAGCCTCCTTGATAATCACAATGGACATCCTAGAATGTGAAATGAAATGGGCCTTAGGAAATCTGAGCAACAACAAAGCTAGTGGAGGTGACAGTACTCCAGCTGAGCTATTCAAAATCTTAAAAGACGATGAAGTAAAAGTGCTACATTCAATTTGCCAGCAAATTTGGAAAATTCAACAATGGCCACAGGGTTGGAAAAGTTGTTTATATTCCAATTCCAAAGAAGGGCAATGCCAAAGAATGTTCAAACTACCACACCATTGCACTCATTTCACATGCTAGTAAAGTTATGCTCAAAATCCTACAAACTAGGCTCCAGCAGTAGGTGAATCAGGAACTACCAGAAGTACAGGCAGAATTTTGAAGAGCAGAGGAACTAGAGATCAAATTACCAACATACGCTGGATCATGAAGAAAGCTAGGGAGTTCCAGAAAAACATCCATTTCTGCTTCATTGACTATGCTAAAGCCTTTGATTGTGTGGATCACAAAAAATTGTGGCAAGTCCTGAAAGAGATGGGAGTACCATACCATTTTATTTGTCTCTTGAGAAACCTATATGCAAGTCAAGAAGCAACCGTGAGAACTGGACAAGGAACCACTGATTGGTTCAAAATTGGGAAAGGAATTTGGCAAAGCTGTATATTGTCACCTGCCTAATTAACTTATATGCAGAGCACATCATGAGAAAGGCAGATCTAGATGAATCAAAAGTTGGAATTAAGATTGCTGGGAGAAATATCAACAACTTCAGATATGCAGATGATACCACTCTAATGGCAGAAAGTGAATAGGAACTAAAGAGCCTCTTGATGCAGGGGAAGGAGAGTGCAAAAGTTGGCTTGAAACTCAACATTAAGAAAACTAATATCATGGCATCCGCCCCCCTCAATTCCTGGCAAGTAGATGGAGAAGAAATGAGGGTAATGACAGATTTTATTTTCCTGGGGTTCAAGATCACTGCAGATGGGGACTGCAGCCAAGAAATTAAAAGACACTTACTCCTGGGGAGGAAAACTATGACAAATCCAGACAGCATACTAAAAAGCAGAGACATCACCCTGCCAACAAAAATGTGAATAGCCAAGGCTATGGTTTTCCCAGTTGCAATGTAATGGCTGTGAAAGTTGGACCATAAGAAAGGCTGAGCACCAAAGAACTGAGGCCTTTGAACTATGGTGCTGGAGAAGACTTCTGCAAGTCCCTTGGACTGCAAGGCAACCAAACCGGTCAGTCCTAGAGGAGATCAACTCTGACTGCTCTTTAGAAGGCCAGATCCTGAAGATGAAACTCAAATACCTTGGCTACCTAGTGAGAAGGAAGGACTCACTGGAGAAGAGCCGAATGCTGGGAAAGATTGAGGGCAAAAGAAGAAGGCGACGACAGAGAATGAGGTGGCTAGATGGAGTCACTGAAGCAGTAAGTGTGAGCTTAAATGGACTCCGGAGGATGGTAGAGACAGGAAGGCCTGGAGGAACTTTGTCCCTGGGGTCTCGATGGGTCAAACATGACTTCACAACTAACAACAATAACAATAACTTATCAAGATGAAAAAAAGCAATCAGATAATAAAGACAAAATTGAACAAATACAACAGGTCTATAACTTAGTGATATGATAAATCTCTAATTCTAGTTGGGACATTTCAAAACAAAGGTACTGACTTATAAATCATACTGTAGTGGGAGGGCAATTAAGTAAATGTTGCTCTATTTTTTAAAACAAAACAGAAACTAAAATCCGTGTATCTGGGTAAAGAACCAGAAAGACAGCCGATTTGTTATAACAGTTAAAAGCATAGAAACTGGATGACTTTGGGCCAATTATTCGCTCAATCTTAGAAAGAGACCAATGGCAAACCAGTTCCTCAAAAGAAAATTGCAGACTTGCCTCTGTAATCATTGGCAGTCAAGGTTGATTTGAATGACCACCGCCACCACACAGAAATGCAGAATCCTTCTCTTCTTGATATATGGATTTTTTTGTTACCAATTTATGATCGATAATGTGTTCAAAGTAATACAATCCAAACAAAGATTTATTTCTAAAATCCAAAGTATTAGTAGGGCAGGCAGGGGAATGAAAAAAATTTTTATGAAGAAAGTATCAGCATAGTAGGAAAAAATGCTTTATAGATAAAACCTGTTACTTTTTAATACTACTGATACTGCAAAAAGTGTTTCATAAACAAGAACCATCATTTGAAATAATATTAATAAGCTATATAATGAGAGAAAGTAGACAGATAAACTACCTTGCTTTATTTCTCAGTGCTGTAACTGAAGCTGTCTTACTCTACTGACAACTCGCCTAGAACTAATTCAGCACCATTTTGTCAGAGTAGGAAAAAATGTGATTTCCAGCAGCAGGTTTATCATATTTATAAAAACTCATTAGTGTATATTATACATATTTTATTCAAATAAGTTAGGAATGTTTGAAGAGCAGTCTAACAATAGCTTAATTAAAAATATAAGTCTTTCAAGAAAAACTAATTAAATTGTACTTAAAACTTTAGGATATAAAAGTAATAAAATTTGAACTAACGTTTTAGCAGTGATGTCCACGTACTGCCCAGGGCGGAAATGAGCTGCATATAGAGGTGTACCTTAAAGTAAATGAAGAGAAATTAAACAATTTAACTAAAAAAAAATCACATAGGAAACCATTAATGTCTGCCTACAACTATGAAGATTAAGTAAGGAATAGTCAATCTACTTGGTACTTAATATCAACTACAGTAAAACACATCTATTACAGTTTCTGCATTTTGAGAAAAGTATAAAATATCCTGCTGTAATGACATGACTCTATTCTAATTATT